AACTAACTAGTAATAAATGAAAGTAAAATAAGGTTAATATAAAGTTGACAAAAATGTTAATCAGAATGTCAAATTTATGAATTTTAATTATTTTTATTAATTAAATTTATTCCCCTAAACGGAATTTCGGTCATGCCGAGGTAAAATATGAGTTGCAAATTTTTTGATCGACGTTTCAAATTGTTGCAAATTGGTTGCAAAAAAATGACACCGATTTGGAACCGATCGGACCATGTCGGGGTGCCAACTTCACGTACGTAAAACATATACCTCTATGGGAGTATGGTATACCGCATTTTTATTAGAACCGACTTGGGCCCATTTTACAATCATAATTTAAACCTCGGCCACTGATTTTACCGGTCGAATTCCACGGTATAACATCAGCTATTAACTATTCTAATACGGGCCCTTAATGTGTTGGCTTTATTGGCAGGTCACCGGCCAATACAATAATCATGCCAGATGAGCTTATCCAAAATAATTGAAAACTGGATTTTGTGTTATAACTATTTTTTTGTTTATCATATTAAACACGGGATTTGAGTTAGTATAAATTTATAATAAATGCTATTAGGTACCTACAATTTGTGTTAATTTTTATTTCGCTTTTATCCACACTAACCTCAACAAGTTAGGGGATTTTAATAATGTATATTATGTAGGAACGTATTTATGGGTGTACCTATTATTATATATTTCATCCCCCCTTAGAAAAATTCCTAAATAACAGAAAAAAAATTACCAGAATATACTTCTGGGAGAGAAACCAAATTACCAAAACATATTAAGTTGTATGATATTGTGATACCGTTTAATGTTTATTTCGCTAAAGAACCATCAAATGCAAGTGCGACATACGTCTATATTATAGCTCTACGTTTATATCAAAAACATATTATAAAAAAAAAATGGGCTATTCAGGTAATACTGATTGTTATTTTATTATTGAAAATTACTAGGTACCTATTAAAACGGTCTGCATGAAATAGCATGATAATGTAATTGACTATTTCACTAAAAAAAAAAAACAAGAAAAATCAATTTAGTATATAAATATATTAATTATGGGTTTTTTTTAAAAAAAAACATACCTATTTATTCATATATAAAAGTTTCTGAACCCTATCTCTATTTGCAGGTGACAAGTCGTTACAGTGGTGTATTTAGGATTTTGTCAAGTTAATCGAAGAAATTATTCAGTTGCCGCGGTATTTATAATATGATTAATGATTATGGTAGGTAAATTCAATTATTTAATAAATATTAGATTAACTGAAACATGTTAACCATGGCCATATTTTAAAGCTATTGGGTAACTTTGAACCCATAATAATATTTTATTCATTTTATAATCCTTACGATGTTTTTATCTTTGTTCATTTTCTTGATTCGTTGACAGTTGAATATTAAACGTAATATTTTTTCAATTGTTTCATCTGGTAATACGTCTGAAATATTTTTGGAATGTTTATCAACTAGAACTATATTAAGATACATGGACCACCTGGAATAAAACCATATTATCATAACTTTTTAGTTTTTATCATATATACCTCCTACTACTGGAATACCTAGTCTGGAAATAAACGAATGGGATCACGCAGGAGGGGGCATGCCCACTATGATTTTAGTTAATAATATTTTTTTTATCCTTAAGTGATTATAAGTCTTGTAAAAAAATAAATAAACTTTGACCTTTAACTTTGTTCCCCTGTCCGGTTTATATTTCTGCGGGTTACTCCACATATTTACACTCACATAATGCAGCAAACATAAAAAGTGACAGGTGTCAGGTCGGAATTATAGCAGGTATAGATTTTTTTGTAGTCATTGTACTATTAAAACTTACAAACAATATGTGTATTTTTATGAAAATATAATTATAAGTAGGGCCGACATTTGTGTGCATTTGCATATTTTTATTGGTTTTTCAAAAAAATTGCTAGTTTATACCAAAATTTGTTTTATAACCTAACGATGCTGTATACGAAATTTTATTTGGCATATTTTTGCATATTATGGTATTTTTGCATTTTTAGGGCATATTTTAGCATTTATAGTATATTTTTGGAGCATATTTAAGATCTTATAAACTCGGGAATTACAGAATATTAATTTGTTTCACTCATATACCTTATTATGAGTATTTCAACTCATTTATGAAAAGAGGTTGAAAAGGGATAATCTAATAAATAGATGTTTTTAAAAAAAAATAATGGTTTTCAATTGTTCATATTCTTACCAAAATTTCTAAAGTATTATCTGGTGATGTACCCACGTTAGTAGGTATCCCAGAAGATCTGACAAGCAACGATTTGTTGCATTATAAATACGCACCTATTACATCCGTTGATGTAATATATTCTTTTCCACTCTAAAAAAATTTGTTGGCGGACAATAGACTCTCAATGCTGTTTGAAAACTTATCCAAATCATTAATTTTTCAATGCAATAAAATCAAGTAAAAATTAAAACGTTTATTATTTGATGAATGTTTTTTTTTTTTATTATTTATTACTTATTAATTTAATTTTAATCTTATAATTTTTAATACCATTTTTAATACCATACATTTTTCAATTTTTGTATATACATTCATTTGGCAACAATTGTATTATGGTATACATTGTATAATACATAAAAAAATTAAATCATTTAATCATTTTTACAATAACATTTTTTTTTTAGAGCATATTTTAAGGACATATTTTAGTAATTTTTAGGGTATAACTGCATACATATTTAATAGATTTTTAGGGCATATAGTTGTTGGCCTTAATTATAAGCATTGTTGCTTTTAATAGAATTGTTAATATCACAAAATTTTTTGTTAACTATAAACACTTTTATTTTTGTAAAACTGTAAGTCTGTATAGGTATAATATTCAGTCCTATTTACCAAGTAGGTACAAACCTACCTATGTAATATTTTTACACTAATACGATTTTTCACGAATGACACTTTCGCACCTTACACATTGAAATGGATAGGTATATAAAAGTGTAAAACAGACGAATATAGGATAATATTATTGAATTATCTTACTTATAAATATCTTCACTATACTCCCGTCTTAAAATCGCATATTTGATTCTCTTTACGAATTCTCTAGGATCTTCTCCTTTAAAGTGTATTTGTATTCTAGGTATTCCGGTATATACTTTGTTTGAATTGTTATTCAATATAACAACTGAATACATTTTCAATGTTGAATCATAATCAATTATATTAGCATCCATCCAATTGTATTTTTTAGAGGACTCTTCATTTGAATTAGTAGGCAAGTAAACAATCGCAGGTACCGGTAAATTGATTCCATTATTATCTTTTTTTAACCATTCATCCGGATTTCGACTGTCAAATTCGACATTATCGTAATACCATAATGGTGTAAAATGTTCTTTATTCGTAATTATTACATTAGAATCAACAGGTATGGGTACTAATTCTTTATCTCCGATGCTATATTCTGTTAATAGTTGAGGAATTGAAAATGTTGCGTATAACTTTTTTAAACGTTCAAGATTAACGACCCTCAACATAATGTCTGAAAGTATTTCATATTCAATTTAGTCATTTAGGTATGTGAGTATGTATAATATGAATTTATCTGTAAGAGAGTTATAATACCGTTGGTAATTTATACACAAATATAAAAATTGTTTAAGTGTACCACTTCCGACCTTATTTAATTCTTTTTTAACCCTAGGGATTTTTCAAAAACTCTGGATTCACCCTTCAGTACCATGATCTACGGCCCATGGGTATATTTCTATTTTACAGCTCAGCTTTCCAGTGGCAGGATTTGGGTTGGTTGTATTTACCTACACAATTCTTTAAATTTTTGGAACAAATATGGATACAACATTAAAATTGGCTTAGTAGTTTTTCAGTTTATGGAGGATATACAAAACATGCGCTGTCACATCATTATAATGTATTTATCATTATAGTGTATTTTATAATCTTATAAATCACGGGAATGAACTAAAAATATTTTGTTTTGTACTAGAATAATAATTTTATTAGCAGGAGTTTTGCATATTATGTAGGTATATTAGGAAGGTACGCCCACCTAATTATTAATCGGAAAAATACCTGACCCAGCCGGAAAAATATCCTAATCCAGCTTTAGATATATCTATATTATATTATATTATGCACATGGATATTTTGTGGGAAAATAAATTTTAATAGCAATTATGGCAATTATTAGGTACCTATGCTAGTATGTTTTTTGAAAAAAATAGTTTAAGGGTATTACTTATATTGATGGGTTATAAGTGGTAGGTATCACATTACTTCCAAATTATATAAGAAAAATAATAGATATTAAATTATAAATACCTAATTTACAAACATCAAGCTATTCAAGCTCCTCCCCAACTGAATAAAACAATACGAACACGAAAACATCTCCATGAAGGGTTCAAGTCAGAACGACCAAACCAGATCTACACTTTTCAAATGAGGACTAACTGAAAACCACACTGTGATTGTGGTCTCCATAACAGACCATCATAACTTACTTAATTCAAAAAGTCCCATTACAAGGAACATGGAAGTGGAACGATTTATTAGCGATGCAAATTTTGCAATAGACTGGATTTCATAATAGATAATAGAATATAGAGTTATAAATTTCTCGAGACTCATTCGGATTATTATACCTATAGATACTGTTTCATATTTTAATGCACGTTTGTTAGGTATATTATTTTTTTGTTACATTTTATTTGTGATTACTTCAATTTAATTAACTTAGGTATTTCTAATAATAATTATGACCATATTATGGTTGAAACTATTCTCTGTAGCAAAATGTCATACGATAAATAAATAAATAAATAAATATAATATAAAATTACAAGCAGAAAAATAAATTACTAATAACACTAGGTATAATAGTAAAATATAATACGTATTATTATAAAAAAAATCCCTGGAATAGAGACTGACAGCGACACTGTACTCGTATTCTCACTAACTCCCTCAAATGGCTCCCCTGCAGATTAAAAATAAATTCTCTCCTTATGCGAGCCCGGTACTGCTTGTAAAGCAAGATGGCAAAAACAGACTGTGTGATGACTTTCGGCGTTTAAACAAGCAAACCATTCGTCAACGTTATCCGTTGCCGGATATGTCGGAACAGCTTGAGGCGTTGGCGGCCGGGAAAATGTTCATACAGTTGCATTTGGCGAGTGGATATCTCCAAATACCGCTAACACCGGAAGCTGCTGAAAAAACTGCGTTTATCACAGCTGACACGACAGGTCAGTTTACGCGCATGCCATTCGGGCTGTCGAGCGCAGTCGCCGAGTTTACGAGGCTGATGCAGTACGTGTTAGGGCCGCTGCAAGGTAAAACAGTGCACAATTACTTGGACGATATGGTGATTGATGGCTCGGATTGGCCTGATCTGTTGACTAAGTTGAGGTCCGTGTTGGGACGACTCAAATCGGCAGCATTGACATTAAAACCGTCAAAATGTCTTTTCGGGACGAAGAGTATTGAGTTCCTTGGATTTGTAGTCGGAGGTGGTGAGATTAGACCAGGACTGAAGAAAACGCGTGCGATCAACGAGTATCCTGTTCCGGAAGACGCTTATTCGTTGAGACGCTTCCTTGGATTAGCGAGCTTTTTCAGACGGTTCATTCCCAAGTTTGCCCTGATTGCCTCGCCGCTCAATAAATTGACCAAGAAAGGAGAACGGTTCTGTTGGGGTGAAGAACATGAAGCAGCTTTTCGGAAGTTACAGGCGGCTTTGGTGAGCGATTCTGTTTTGACTTTGTTTAGACCTGACGCTGCTACAACTGAATTGCACACGGACGCCAGTACGATTGGTCTGGGGGCCATGTTAATGCAATCAGTGAAGTTGGGTGACCCACTACGTGTTGTCTACAATGCATGTCGGAAGACCAGTGACGCGGAAACCAGGTATCATTCTAGTAAACTAGAACTTTTGCGCTCTGGTGGTCAGGTGGTGAAGCAACGGTCACAGTGGGTGACGTAAGGACCGGCGACGATCGAGGACGATCGTGGGCGCCAGGATGGTCTAATGTAAACTCCCGTTAACTTGGGGAGATAGCGTCATAGGTCTATGTGGTCGGGTAGCTCAGTGGTAGAGCAATCGCCCGGCAAGCGAGAGACTCGGGTTCGATTCCCGGTCCGGCGGCTAGATTTTTGACGTTATTTCCCCTGGAGAAGTTAACATAAATCAGAAGTGGGATTTGTGCCGAAGGACGCAGTGTTGTGAGGGACCTGGACTTGGTCCGCCAGAGGTCGTGCAGAGACGATTGCGTTGTGATACGGGTCGTGCGCTCTGGTGGTCAGGTGGTGAAGCAACGGTCACAGTGGAAGACGTAAGGACCGGCGACGATCGAGGACGATCGTGGGCGCCAGGATGGTCGAATGTAAACTCCCGTTAACTTGGGGGGATAGCGTCATAGGTCTATGTGGTCGGGTAGCTCAGTGGTAGAGCAATCGCCCGGCAAGCGAGAGACTCGGGTTCGATTCCCGGTCCGGCGGCTAGATTTTTAACGTTATTTCCCCTGGAGAAGTTAACACTATAATATAGGTATGCAGTTTTATGACAATTAAAATATCTTAACGACTTAACAACTAAATAGTAATTCTAAAAATATAAACTAAATAAATACTTATGGAATGATGCTGGAAGTGTTTTTATGTTATAATATTGCTTTAATTTGCTTTCATAAAACACAAAAATTGAATGAAAAATACACAACTAATAATATATTAGAATTATCAAAATAAACAATTTTTGAATTAAATCAATAGTACGAGATATACAATTCTGTAAGCCATATAATAAATATTATTATCGTTGATTTTTTACGATACCTGGACATAATTAACAATTTATTATTACTGTTGAACAAGATTGTTTATTTTGGGGCTATAGAGTAATCATACCAACCAAATTCCGTAAGTCAATTCTAACTGAACTGCATTCTTGTCATATTGGCATGTCGAGTATGAAAAGCATTGCGCGTTCGTATTTCTGGTGGCCTAGTATAGATAAAGAAATTGAGAATATGGTCCGAAACTGCAATGAATGCATAAATGCGAGACCTAATCCTCCTAAGTCAGTACTAACTCCGTGGAAATGGCCACAAAGACAATGGACAAGAGTGCATTGCAATTTCTAGAGTGAAAAAACTTTGAAAGCTGTATGTAACAATTTTGAAGCATTGAACAAACATTTTTCTAATTCTGCCATAGACAATTTAAGAAACAGTAAAGAAAGATCCAAATATTCAGGTTTATTGAGAATACTTGCTTCCGTAGAGTTTGTTGGTAATTTATTTTTAATTTTATGATATTGTTTGTTATATTTTAGGTATTATGTATGACGCTTTAACTGAATTAGCTGATTTATCTTTATCACTCCAAGATAGATGTTTAAGTCTATCAGTAGCAAATGGTTCTATTGATCGAACAATTCGAATTTTTGATTCTATGGCAGAAAACCATGGACCTAAGTTTAAAGAAGTTAATGATGCATTTGCTAAATCAATAGTACGAGATATACAATTCTGTAAGCCATATAATAAATATTATTATCGTTGATTTTTTACGATACCTGGACATAATTAACAATTTATTATTATGAGTCAATAATGATTGAAATCCACAAATCTTAACAAAATTAGTATATTGTAATAATTAAAATTGACAATTTTTTTTTATGCACATTATAAGTTAAATAAGTCTTAAAGCAGGTACCCATTATTTTAGCGATGGGTCTTCAGCAATGTTAGGTAGGATATCTGGTGTTTGAACCCAGTTAAAAATAATGTACCCAAAAATAATTGTTTGACATTGTTGTAACCATCGCTTGGAGTTGGCTGTATGTGACACATTAAAGGAAATAAATGCAATCAATAATTTTCAGTTTTTTATTGAAAAATTATACTCTTTATACCACCAGTCACCAAAAAAACTCAAATGAATTAAAAATGTGTGCTGCGTCTTTAGAGCAAAATTTAATGAAAATTGGAATAATATTTACCATTAGATGGGTTGCCTAGAGTGAAAAAACTTTGAAAGCTATATGGAACAATTTTGAAGCATTGAACAAACATTTTTCTAATTCTGCCATAGACAATTTAAGAAACAGTAAAGAAAGATCCAACTATTCAGGGGGATTATTCTTGAATGTAACGTAAGAAAAGTGATCGACCAAAGCGTACCTACGTAAACCGCCATTTTTACGTAGTATATTAAAAAACCGTATTCAAGAATTGATTACGTACAATACGTATACGTAATTGTTCGTAGTTCTCTTACGGTTACTCATTACCCATACGAATTGAGTGTTCGTACGTTTTATTATCAAATTTAGATATTATCATTTGTACTCAATTGTATTGTTTTAATAAAAAAATACCTCAATATGTTCTTAAATTTCAATAACCTTTTATAGTTTAGTTTTTCGTTATTGATTCAAGTAATTTATTTACTTACTATAGTTGCGTAAACCCAAATTTAAACGATGGCTTTTCAAGAATTTGAACAACTGATGATTTTACAGCAGTTAGAGTTTGTTGAGTTAGAAGCTGATAATCATCCTCGTCGATTTTACCAAGCTCAAAATGTTTTTGAAGGTTTGTTCAATATAATATACCTACCTATGGCTATTGATAGTATTGTTATGTCCTTTTCTATATTACAAAAATTATTATTAATTCTAAGCAATATTCACAATTTATTTCAAATTTAATACGGCATCTATTGACTTATAGCAGATACTATATAGATATGACTGCAGTAAACAAAAAATATAATATTGTACAATTATATACCTATATTATATTTGAATTCAGAGCTGCGTCGCTGCTACTACGGTAGTACGGTTCTAGGCAGGCACCCCAAACACAAATTGAATGTGTAGATATAAGTAATAGTAATAAACTAAAACACCTAAAATAAATTGACTTGCTTGGTAACTACATACCTATAGCAGTGGCGTAGACAAGGGGGGACGTAGGAGGTCAGATCCACCCTCATTGGCTTTTTATTACCTTAGTAAAAAGTTTTGGGGGTTGAGGATTTTCCAATTTTTCCCTCCCATTTAGCTATATCATTTCCTTTTTTTGATCCCCCCCTTTCAGAAATCATGTCTACGCCACTGACCTATAGTGCAATAATGCATACACTATCAAATTCTAGTTTTCCTTACAATTGTAGGAGTTACATACCTACAGTTATTTAATTAAAGCATATAATACTATAAAAACTATGAGAATGTTGGGGTGTCCTAAACCCTACGCTAGGGAGATATTTTACCAAGGCTTTGCCACTGAGGTATATGCGGCACTGTATTTGAATTAAAAATAATAGCTGCAATTCATAATTTTTTGTCTACAACTATCAAAAATTACTTTAACAAATCATGTTTCTTACCAGCTGCCATATTTATTATTAACTATTATTGCCCTTATTCAATTTTAGAGCTATCTGATAAACAGTTCATTAAAAAATTTCGGCTTAGTAAAGAGTTGGCTGGCGAACTTATTGAAGTATTAACGCCATATATGTCTGAACAAACAAGAAAAACATCAATTTCAATAGAAAGAAAGGTATAGATTAATTAGTTATTTTTCTACGCTTAAAGTATGTAGGTACCTATAGTACTCAATATAAATTTTCAATCAATTTGATGTACAATTTTAATTTATTGAAAGGTTTTGACAGCATTGCGATTTTTCGCAAGTGGATCATATCAACTTGATATAGGAGACAACAGGTCTTCAGGCTTAAGCCAAGCTTCTGTGAGTAGGTGCATAACTGAGGTTACTGATGCAATGAATATGTCCGATGTTGTCAAGCGGTATGTTCATTTCCCAGATTCATTTGAGAAACTGAATACTATCAGAAGAGGGTAAATATAATACCTAAATTATTTTTACTTCAAGGTTCATGGTCTTGGGTACTGACAGTTTCATAGGTGTCGTGTTTAGACAACATAACGCAGGACAAAATGTGTGAGAAATGAGTAGGTTCAGTAAATCAGGTACCTATCAATATTAACATTTTTGTGTGACAGAGGCACAGGTAGTAGAATGGCTGGAGCTAAAATGCTTAATCAAGGGTGGTCAATGTAAATAGGTACTTATTATTTTATTATCTTTATATAGTTTGAGCTAAATTTTTTTGGAGGACGAAATAATATGTTCCCCCTCCCCGTGTTTTAGAAGGTGAGAAACTATCCACGTATGTTCAGGCACCCCCAGATCTCTGATGTGCAAAACTGATCTTATTTAGACTTTATGCTAAATTCAATTAATGTTTTTAGAATGCTAACTTGAATTAATTTGACCGACTTAATACCGAAATATACCTATTTGATAATATTGATAATCAATTACGATTTAAACGTACCTACCTACTATAAATTTAACTCTTTAGTAATATCTAGATTTTACGAAAAAACTGGTGTACCGGGCGTTATAGGTTGCATCGATTGTACACATATAGCAATTTTTCCACCTCGTTCTGAAGGACTATATGCGGAACATATTTACGTGAATCGGAAAGGATATCACAGTATAAACACTCAACTAGTAAGTAATACAATTAGGTACCTAAGTAACGATTTAAGTAATACAGTAATAAATATAGTTTAAATCACAAGCGACAAAAAGGTGGGTAAGTGGCATTGGCGCAACTAGGGGGGATGCTTTGGGTCCTTAGCACCCCCTAAGTCAAAATTAGCACCTCCTAAAAAATCGTTAGGTGTTAGGTCTCATTGAATCATATAAAAACCTGGAGCTTAAGCACCCCCTAGTTCAAATGTCTAGTTGTGCCAATGGTAAGTGGTAAGTGGTGATGAAGGTAGTAGTAGGATGTGGTACGCTCTGCTGTAGAGTAGGTTACAAGTGGGGTCACTCATAGGCGCAAATAGCGTTTGGGATTTTTTTTTTGGAAGGGGGGGGGGGTGTGGCTCAAGTCTTACTTTGATAATATTGAATAAAATGTATTGAATTC